GGGTGTCGAAAGGGGAGACTTGCTCTCACGTACCATCCCTGCGTCGTGCTTCGCACGGAAAAAAGGCGTCAATGACGTCGCACTGCTCCTTGGGGCAGGGGCCATTGGCGTGTTACGCAGTTTTTGGGTCCCGGAATCAGGTCGATCTTATGACGCACACCTCGGGCTGGAGGTACGACTGAAGGCGGGTCTTTGGAGACGACGTCTCGGAATTCTTTTACCAAAGGATAATATGGATATGAGGTTTTTTTAAGATCGATGATATACTTCATGCGTTCAGCACCCTCTTAATGTCCATCAGGACAGCTTTATCCAGAAGCGACGTTGAGTAGATCACGTCATCGGTCTTATAGTGACCACCTCGGCTAATCTGCTTGCCTCCAAGGCACCGCTAAACTCTTCGAAGGACATCTCGTCCAGCTCAAGAAGAGCATCTACCGCGGAAATAGCCTCGAGGGTGACGTCGCTGTATTTCACTTCCGTCATACCGTTGACAAGGGTATACAGCTCCGCGCTATCGTCTACTGTAGCCACACCCTGGGTCAGGGCCGACGCCTTGTGTCTTGCAGATATCATACGGCTTTGCCGTCTCCTCCTGTAGAGCTTTTACGTCTCATCGAGACCAGTAGGAACACACACTCGGTATCGTCCAGTGTCCCCACTCCCTGCTCCATCGGAGCCTTAATTTAATTAACAACAACCGACGAAGAGCTGTTATTTCCGTAGTCCTCGTCCAGTGTATAACGTGCCACTCCACGCGCATCAGAAGAACCTTGCCTAGGATGTCTCGGACTTCGTCCGACTACGCCACTTTTGGTATACAGCAACTGCTTCGAAACGTGAGCAGTGAACAGTGGATTTTGTGCCACTCCACGCGCATCACAAGGGCCTCGCCCTCGATGCCTCGGACCTCGTCCGACCATGCCATTCTTGGCACGCAGCAGCTTCTTCGTAACGTGAGCAGTATTGAGTGGTTTACGTGCCACTCCACGTGCATCGCAAGGGCCTCGCCCTTGATGCCTCGGACCTTGGCCGACCATACCACTCTAAGTTCAGCTCGCGAGCCACGATCGGGACTCATGTCTAAAACACGTTTTACAACTCAGATACTCCGATATCCAGAACATTGACCGCCCCGATCCATTGCCCGCGCCAATAGCGTTACAGCTTCCTGGTAGAGCTATGTTCAAGACTCACCAAAGCTCTACTAGGAGACGAGCGCGTAGCGCACAAAGTCTTCAACCTCCAATCAATCCATGGCTCATAGTGTTCCAATCATGCCATACCAAGGATAAGGTCATACCTTGCACCCAAGTCTAACACTAGACAGCGTTTCATGCTATCAAAGTCATGAATCTTGACACTGAGGCCAAAAGGGACCCTTGGTAAAGTGACACAAGTCCCCATCGCTAAGCGAACAGTGATAGTGTCACTCAACCGCGCTTTCAGCGCCTCAGCATACAGCTTACTTCTTTCGATTGTGGAGCGTTGAGCATAATTGTTCGACGCACCAGGATTGATAAGGATTTTTCATGGCTTATCAAAGCCCTTCACGGTCACTTTTACGACCAGCAAGCCTGGCTTGCACACACGTTCCGTGTTCAAGAGCACACAGCTCTTAGGGGCTGGGCCCTGCTGCCCTCTACTTCTTTGAGGCTCAACAGAGCTCAGTTCTCCCCCAGTAGCCTACTGGGTTCTCTCGTACAGATCATAATAGTTAGGAGTGGAATGTCGGTTCGACGAACCTTTACGCGCCATGCGCAAAGGACAAACCGTCCAAAGGTGACGGGTGTCTCTACAAACAAAACACCGTCGGGTGTTTACACCCTGCTCAACAGCTCGGAGCTCTCCCTCCTCCTTCTCAGCATAGCTGAGATCCATTGGCTCAGGCCCGCTCAACGATCCCTGAGGATGAGCATTCCAGCCAAGTCGTGCCGACTTGAAGCTGAATTTGGCATTCAATGCCACGTTCAGCGCTTCTTCAAAAGAAGGCGAATGTACACGGGAGACTTCTATTCTGGTAACGCCAGTGCGGGGGCCCTCGATAACGACGGCCACTGCGACCGCCTCGGAAAGAGGATTTGCTGTCATTCCAGCAACAAGAGT